GGACTAATTCAAATACACGTGAGGATTTTCAGTATGATCATAGATGTCAACAAAGCACAACATAACTTTTAGGGCATGGAGTCCATCTCCATGATGCTAACTAGGCTTTATTGTGCTACAGCAATTGATGTTCAGGTCTCCAGGCCAATTTTTTTCTGTTTTCTCATTAGAATTTCAAGTTCTGTCAGGTCAGTCATGAGCTATAGTGACTAGAGCTCTTGGAAACACTGTGTAACCGGAGCCAAGAGAGTGTCAGTTGCAGATCTGAGAAGGGGAAAGAATTTTTCGTCTGAATACTTTTTAAAGTCTTTGGGGTTGGTTTGTTTATATTAACACCTGTCTAACTTTGGGGACTAACTTCTGGATAAAGGAAGCCTGTGTTTAATGTTCAATATCCTCAAACTTTCAGCGACGAGTAGATGCTCTGACCAGGGTGGAATTGGGTATGCAGTGGTATAGGCATTCCCTATCACATAACTAGGAACCTAGCCTCATGCTGTTTGTGTGGCTGTAGCATAGACGTGTGTGTATATGCGCATCTACAAATGTGAACAGAAAATTCACGTCTGTATTCAGCTGCAGTACTAGAGCTCTCTGTGAACAATCCTGAAACTTCTCAGACAATCGTCAGCATGGTTAGTGGAAAAAAAACCACTTTGCAAATTGCTGTTATTCCTAAGATAGGAAAAAGCTGTCCTGTTATGTAGTAAATACAAACACAACTCAATTTTTTTTTTTTAGTTCTGTACAAAAAATTTTAATTTTATTAGCAATAGAGAAAACTAGGAAGATAGTGGTTTGTGTCAAGTAGCTTCTTACATAAACCCAAACCTTGTGTAGAACATTACTTAATAGAAAGGATTTATACTACCTAGGATTTGTTATTAAGTTTAACCTGAAGACCTGCTTGAAGTTATTGGAAAAACTCAAATATTGAGTACATACTTGAGAAGAATTTAAGAAGGTGATATATTTTTAAAGTACTGAATGAATGAAATATTTCCAGTTGAGGTGATAGTCAAATAGCGCACTTCATGTTTAAACAGAATTTGTCTCGGCATCTACCTTTTAATAAGTTAAAAACAGTTCCTTTCACCTCTGTTTTGTTTTGGAGGGAGGGATGTAACGTATATTCTTTTGCTTTTTGGGAAAGGGGTTTTTTTTAGTATCAGCACTTTTGTAGTGTAAAAAAATCTTCCAGGGGTTTTAGCATCTAAAAAAATCCTGTTAGACGCATTCTATATAGGTGTTAAAGAGGGCTAGTCAAATCCTAAAATTCAACTTTTTCCAGTTTTTCATTACAATTTTTTAAAGCCTATATAAGCATCAATAGAAATGTTAAATCAATAGCTGTGATGTTTGGCCCACTTTTTTTCTAAATTAACGTTGCTTTTAAAAGCGTAATTGGCAATTTCTGTATAGATTAAACTTTTTAAATGGAACTTTTTGTTTATGAATCCTCCAAAATCATTTAACTCTTCTAACTGTACTGATACTGTAACAACAATTAACACTTTCTGAAAGATGGCATTTCAGATCTTTTGCTCTAGATCTTTGCATTTTTAAATAACACTAGCTTTTAAATCTTTCTGTAGACTACTTAGAGTGTTTGAAATATAACTTTCTTAGTAAAGCAAATATAGTTGCCATCAAAATGTCTTTTCAGATAAAATTTTCATGTATCAACCTATTTCAAATATAAAAAATTACTTCATAATACAGTATCGTTAGTGGGTTCTAATTATGTGGCTTTCTATCATGTGGGCCTCAATCAAGTAGAGCTCTAGTCGTATTGAAGTTGCACTTCTTGTTAATAATAAAGCGAAATCTGTGCAGTAATAAGGAAATAAATAAGACTTTAATTATATCTAGTAAGTTCAGTGTTGGCTGGATGATGAGGGCAAACAGGAATTACTGCACCATTTTGCAGAACGCACTGCTCCGAGTAGCAAAAAGGAAAAGTTTGATTACATGCAAGGAAATTTTTTTTTCACGTGCAGATTGTGCAACACAGTAACAGGTTGCTCAGAGAGATTGTAGGCACCGCATCCTTGAAGAACGTGGCTAGATGAGGCCCTCAGCAATCTCATTGCCAAGTTAACTTTGTTTCGAGTAAGGTGTTGGACCAGATGACCTCCCAAGGTCCCTTCCAGCTAGAATTATTGCAAAATTCTGAAGTAGGCTAACTGAACAAATAGGAGAGATTGTCTATGTGGACAGGTTTGGATCAGACCTTCTTAGAAACAGTCCAGAACCTGCCATTCTGGACTGTTACATTTCCTTAGATCAATGCAGTCTGTGCCTTAGTTCGATGCGAGTGCACCTGATAGTAGCATCAGTTATTCACTTCCTATTCATGCCATTCTCTCATTTGTGTGAGTGCACCTGATAATAGCATCAGTTATTCACTTCCTATGGATGTCATTCTCTCATTTGTGCTCCTTGGTGTTTAGATGGCTCAAGAAAATCACTTTTGACTTCACAACAGTCCAGGATGCTGGATTCCCTTTCTTGACAAATCATCATGCTGAGAAATCATCATACTTGAAACCTACCTCCCTAATTGTCATTCCACTTGCTGAAAGGATTTCAGAACTTTAAAATCTTACTGTAAGATATTCTACTATAAACAGTCTTCCTCAAAACCAGTCATCTGGGAGGTCTTACCCCAAATACCTGTGTTAAACTGTAATTCTGTTACATCTGATTCTGTCTCTGCATCCCCAAACCATGCTACTTGTTTGAAGAGACTTTGTATATCGCCTTACAGAGCATGCAGCTGTGGTTTTGTTTGGATGAAATAAATCATTGAGCTTTCCACTGTGATGTGGATGTAGAATTTGCTGAAAATCTTAAGTGACAGTTGTTTCTTCCAGGAAATGATAAGCTTTGTTTTGGGGTTTGCAAAGACTAGTGCTGTAACAGCAGGCTCCATCTGGATAGGTTACTCCAACTGCTTACTCCAGTTTTGCCTGAGATACTCCATGATCTCTCTGTCAGTATTCCTGTGTAAAACTATGTAGAACAACGTGGAGATCTGTCCACACATTCTCTTTTCCTTGATGTGGGTCAGGTGTAAACTCTGCTGAACAGAACTTCTGATTATTTTTATAGTTACTTTTTACTCACCTGCCTTCTGGCACCAGAATGACTGTTTGCTGATAGATTAAATTTGTGTAGACAGTCCCTTGAAGTAAGAACACTGTGGCTCTTTGATACGTTGTCCTCGCAGCTACAGAGGTATAAGTCACAGAAGTATAAGTAACTGTACTCTTCTTTTATGGACAAGCTACCTGCTAGCTGTAAATTTTTAAGCAGTTGAATGCTTAAGAATCAATGATCTGAGAATGTAAGTACTAAAATCGTAAAGATGCTTCTAGAAAATAATTAGTCACCTGTTGAGTATTTTACTCCTCTTCTTGCAGACCTTTCTGCCTAGCTTAGGAGCCAGTAGCTCCACTGGAATATTGCTTCTATATGTTTTTTAGCTTCTTCCACTATACGAGTACCTTTTCCTGTAATGTCCATGTAAACCAGGTTTTCCTTTAGGAAAAGCTCAGGATAAACTGAGACCAAATTATTTAGTATCCCTTAGAGATCATGTTAATATGAGGATGGTGAGCTAATGTTTGGAAAAGAGGCATCTAAGCTGAATTGGCTGGCAAAGAAAGGTATGTATTTTCTCTTGGATTTTGCACAGAGAGAACTTCGGTCCATGCTGAGATTTTCATGGCTCTTGGCTGGAGGTTACCCCTGCTGTGTGTGAATTTTTATTGCCTCCGTCTTTACTCTGTGTTTACTCAGTTGATATCCAGACTTACCTTTATACAGATTATCTTTATTCTTCAGGGCACCACTGTTCCCTGCCGATTTTCTGTGTAAAATTACAGCGAACTTGTTCCCATTTTCAGCCTTTGTTTCTCTGTGGGAACCCTTAAGTAAGGTGCATTTAGACTTTTATTTTTCTTTTCAGTTTGTCTGAAAAGCATTGTAAATCTATTCTTCCTTTTATATATGGGTGTTCAAGAGGCAGAGCAAACAAGCTGTCAAGTTAGTGTGCCAAAAGATGGGCTTTTAGCAGTGACTGGCATTGAATTAGGGTGAAGCTGAGGAGTTGGGATTGTCTGGAGCCAAAACCACATGTTGGCTTAAAGTGAAGGGCAAGGATGGTAGCTGGAGTGGAAAGCTGCTCTGGACTGAAAGGTGAAGAGCTAGCTTCAACATTGTTTGTAGTGCGGTTGGTAACTGAAGTTACTGAGTTCTGTTAACAGTATTTGTATACTGATGTGTATTTACTGATTTTTAAGAACAATAGAGGTAACATGACCTTGTGTCTGCATTTAAATACTGATTTTCAGGCTGATAGGATTTAGTTTAATTGCAAAGTCTGTACGTTATTTGTGGACTTGCCTTGAATTGATGCATCAGATATTTGGATTCTGTGATTATTTTTTTTCCTCTGCTTATATTGTTTAAAATACTTGCAGTGATACTGGATTAGTTTATGAAGCACAGAAGGAAAGAAACACTGTTGTGATCTCATATAATAATTGTGAGATAGCTTTAAACAGTCTCAGGCTTCTCAAATCAGCAAAGCCTTCGAACGTGTTGGACGTTCAGTGATGAGTTTGTACTACTGTGAAGTTCTGCCCCTTTCTGATGACCATATGTGATCTCAGAAGGAATTATTTAAATAGGCGACCTTTCTTTTTAAGTGCTTGTTGTGTTAGTCAAACAAATACACATTTTAGGATGTTCTTTAAATTTTGAAAATGCCTTTCCCATTTATTAGCACTCCCCTAGACCCAGTCCCTTCAAATCTCTGCCTCAGTTTATGTGAAATTCCTGAAGCAAGTCACAAAGTATTTTTGTTGTAGTATTTTAGTGGAGTAACTTTTATATCTTTAATCTTGACTATTCCGAGGAGAAACAGATATAATTGAAATAGGTGGGTTGTAGGTGATGAAATAAACTATCATTCATTCTTACCTTTTTTCAAGGTAGCAGTGATGGTTCTGAACTCAGTGAAGAGACTTCCTGGCCAGCGTTTGAAAGGTAAGAAAAAGTGCCACTCCAGAAACTGCATTTCTCTATTCAGACATTGCTACTTACGCTCTCTCACTCAGGTCTGAAAATGATGCTTTATTTTAGTGATCTATATGTAAGAATATTAATAAACTGTAGTAAGTTAAAGCAGCAGAGAAGTAGCTTCTGCTTACTAGTAGTTAATAGGGCTTTTGTCTAATTGGATGGTCAGTCATTGCACACATTCTTCTAAATAGTTCAGGCAGAGTACCATTAAACCCCAAATGATTTGTCTGTATCTATATATTTCCATATCCTGTGTATGCTATTCATGTGACCTATCTGGTTTTCATTTTCACTTTTCCTGAGACATTTCATCCATTCTTGGTCCCTTTGTTCTTGTAACTGACCTTGTTACCATTTGGTCTCTCCCATCTGCTCTTCACTTTGTTGTTAGTTGCCCACGTTATGTGGGAGAGCACAGTAACGTCCCTTGCTTATGTCTGATTTTGTGGTTCAGAATTAATATCTTGCTCCTTATCAAAATACCTGCAAATGCTCAGGTGATATTCATCACTTCAATCCTTTCCCATGTTGTAATTGAGAATGTAGAAAAAGACTAATAGCTATAGTTTAATGTAGTAAAAAGTGGAAATTTCATCTTTCCACAGCTCAGTAAGATGCGCAATACAGCGCGTAGTTTGCTTCCCTAACTCAATTTTAGGTAATTCAGCTTCAGAATCGCCATGGATGGCTTTTTCTACCATACTACGAAGATATGTTTGATAGAAATTTTTGTCAAAGAACCTTATAATTGGGAACTGTTGCCACAAACCTTATATTCTACTTCAATTCATTGAAACAGTTGAAGTGTTATTTTTTGGAAGATATCTTTGAAAAGAATCTCAGTGCCAAAGTTGAACTCTGATATCTCATGCTATAAATATTACATACATGAGGAAATGCCCTTATGATTCCATTAGATAAGAAATAAGAACATTGCATATGAGCATAGAAAGAAAATAGGGTCAGAAAAAACATCTGTAATCTGTATGTGCTCTGTTGCTTTTCCTTCCCTCTTGTATTACAGACTTAATCAAGTTCGGGTTATTCCTCTAAGCCAAATGTTACATGGGAAAGCCTTAGACAAAGTGGTGAACTGAGTGCTTTTAGCTTAAGTAGCGTAAGAAACAGAAAAGTTTTAGTAAAGTTCAGGCTTAAGCTCATATTTTTAGAGAATAGTAACACGCTCCAGAATTGTGTGGACTTCTGAGACAAAGCATCCCTGCCATAGTGAGAACTGGCTGGCCCAGACCAGCCTCCAGTTAAAAAGTTTGCTCCACATCAGTGGATTCCTCCTCCAGATTACACTTGCCCTCAGTACCTTCCTCTCTCCTGAGAGCGCTCCTTGGGAACTCTGAAGTTGCATGCTTTTGAGGGTGAGTTCTCTGCCTGCTTCCAGGGAGAGGGATCAGATTCCTTGTATCATGTGAAATTCCTAGAGATACGCGGCAACCTTGTGTCTGTTCCTTGGTTCATGAGATGATGAAGCATGTTTTGGAATTCAGTAGGTAATACACTGAAATGCAAATGTTAAAAATTAAGACAACTAGAGAAGGTGTTTCTCTAGTTTTGGTCTGTTTCTTATCAAAGAGTTTTTAAGTGAGGGAGAAGCATTAGTTGTCTGGAATTAACAGCTACTGGCAAAATTGGGATAGTTCCCATGTTACTAATGACTACTTCCTATGCAGTGCAAGTGGGAATTCAGTATTCCCTGGTGATTTAGGAACAGAATCTTTGGGTAAGAGGGCTTAAGTCTGCTAAATATGCCTAATAGGAAGTAATGAGATACTCCACACACAGATTCCCCAAGTAACAGAAGGAATTGTATCATATATTCTTGGTTTTCCTGACCCTCGTGTTGTTTGTAACTGGGAAATGCGGAAGGGATGAGAACTAGAGTCACTGATTGTTTAAGTGCAACAGAAACTTAGTTTGAAACTTGAGTAAGAGCTTTCATCATTGGGGTGTCCCTTTAGACTAATCAAAATTACTTGAAGAACTTTAATTCCAAGTCCTGACAGTTATATCGTGTTAAGGGCTTGATACTAAGTGACACCTCAGTCTCATTGGTTGTCATCTGAGTGTCTCTGAATAGATTTCCCTGAAATAGCTTGAATGCAAGAGTGATAACCTCCTTGTTATGCAAAAACCCCCAAGCTTAAAGGTAAGAAGAAAAGGTATTTCATTTGCATGCAAAATATATGTACACACAAATAGACAGCTTATCTTACGGTTTTCTTTCCTTCATCTTAATTATTGTTTTATTTGTTTATTTGTCTGTAGCTTGAATGTATTTTAAAACAAAGATATTTAATACATTCAAATATATCACTTATGTTGAAAACCAAATTATGGTGTATTCTGGAATAGATTAGCAGATGGTAATTCATTAATATCTTTTTGATAATTCTTCCTGCAGCAAAGGCAATAGTTTGAGCTGGTTTAAAACCAAAGGAAAAAAACCAAACAAAACCAACCAAACAAAAAGCATTCTTCTTGTTTAATGCTGCTGACCTCTACTGTCTCCCTTCTTTACAACCGCTTTGTTTGCCAGCTGTATGCTACTCTGAGTTCAGATTGAAACATGGTAATGTTTCAATGCCACTTGCTTAGGTTTCGCATTCTGAAGAATACAAAGCCCCTCTCACGGGTGACAGATTGTTAGGTTTATACTATGTGGGAGATTTTCCCTGTAAAATTCTCATAGGCTTGTACTTAACTGCCTGCTTCTGCAGAATTAGAGCTGATTTTCAGTATTTCAGCATAATACAACCAACTAGAAAAATGGATGAAAAATAGGGGGTGAGGACAAAGTACCTGTGCTTCTGTGGACTTAAATGGAATTCAATCAACTAAGGGATCTGATCCAGAAAACCAAGGGTCGATGGAGCAAAGTAGTATTCAAAAGGCAGGTCTAGAACACAAGTCCTGGCTATGGATAACAGTATAGATCAGGTTAAGGACTCTAAAATATGAAGCCTATATGTAAAGTTTAAAGCTTGTATGAACTGGAGAATTGAAATATTGCTTAGCTTACTTCAGTGTTACTTTATTTTAAGCATTGTCAGTCATATTTTGATAGTGCTTTTGATTCCTTTCAGCCCAACAACTTGTGTGTGTGCACATACTCACAGAATTTGAAAAAATTTTTTGAAGTAATATCTATAATCAGAATTTAAAGACATACGGATTTTATTAATGTGGTTCCTTTACATTGATTTAATCTCTAAGAACTAAACACAGGCTTTGCTCTCAGAATGTATTATTCCTCAGGGCCAATAAAGCACTTCAGTATTATGAGTTCTGACAAAGAGAACATCTGAAGAAATAAAAAACCATGGTGTCTATCTCTGCATGCATTTTTCTAAATAATATTATCCTTTGTTTCTTAATTGGAAGCGGTGGCGCACGAAAAAAAATACTATGCTGTTTTAGCAGTCGTGCTGTTTGTGTGAATAAAAGTATATGTAATACGTACAATTTATAATGGAATCCAACAGGAACAGGTTGTACCATTCTCTCGGTCCGGGGACAAGAGTGTCACGAAATGGCTATCGAGGCCACATGAAGGCCAGCAGGTACAATCCCCACTGCACACAGAGGTGTCAAATTTTCCCTCTGGTGTTGGTGATTTGGTTTGGTTTAATAATTAAGTGGGTGTTTTCTGATGTTACCTTTCTAACTTACATGTCAAAAGTAGAGACCTTTTGCTTCAGACTTAAAGCTTTCCTCTTCTGTGACTTACTCTGTATCACCATAAGGGCCTTTGTTCATTCTGGTCTGCAAATCCAAATTCTGAACCATTGGATCTTTATATCAAGTCTTAAGATGTTTTCCCAGAGGTAGCTTTTAAACTGTCCACCACTGTGAAGCAGTGTTGGTAGTTCTCATGTGGACAACAAAGCTGCTTCTTGTGCTAATGGATGGCATTCAAGATGGTTTTTTGCTGTGGTAGTTCTGTATTGAATTTCTTTTCCCCTCTTCCCTGAGATAATAAATATGGCTAAAATGAGTAATGCGTGAAAATTGGCCTCAATTCATTATATATAGTATTATTTGCAAGCTGACATAGTAGTGTAACTGATGATTCTGATGAATTAAAATACAAATTCTCTCTCCAGCTGTGTGGCCCTGTAATTGGGGAAGAGATGGCCATTAACTATGAAACTTTTTTCACCTTAAGAAGCAAGCATTGTCTCACTGAATTAAACTCATGTTCACATCTATCAATGTCCAAAACTGTCTCCATATCATCATCCTCAGTAGGTGCTGCAATGAAAATGTTTGCTAGATTTCCTGTTTACTTTGAATGCTCATGAATGTTAGGATGGATGAAAGAGCAAATCCTAGCTCACTTCAAAACGAGTTTCAGGCACTGTTCGTTTTCTTGGCTTTTCTAGAAAGCTGCTGGGTTCAGCAACTTAGCTATATGCTCTGATTGACATTTACTGAAATTATTTCTGTTGTAGTTTTTTTCTGATTGAGAATGTTTTGTAAGCCAGTCAGCTTCATAATTTCAATAAAGCAAAGTTTTCTTTTCACAGTGCTGTACCCAGCACTTATTTTATCCCACTGCTCTTAGATCCTCCGTAGCGTAGATGATTAGTAGAGCTCCAGATGCATTAAAACACCTTAAAGCTGTGGTTTGGGTTTCTACTCTTTATTACTGCTCCTGCCCACCCTTCTTGCTTTCAGATATTTTAAATATTGTGCATGTTTGAGCTATGCTTTGGTTTTGATGTGCTAATGATTCCAGTGTTTCTAACAAACAAAATACTCGATCTTTCTTGCAAGGGCTGAAGGAGAGGTTTTAACACAGCAACAGTATGACTGTACTTCAACCGTTTGCTTTTAAAATTAATTGTTCTTGTATTTCAGTTGTGTCTTGAGTTTCAATTTTTTTAGTTAAGGATTACCTGCTTGGCTAATTAATTTTTCTGATCACTTTTGCTTGTGAGCGTAAATTCCACAACAGCAATTCCTTGTAACAGCCAAAGTCTCTTTCCACAATGAAGTCCAATAAACTAAAAGTTGACATTTCTAAATTAAGATACAGATGTTTGCATTAGTTTGTGGTAATACTTGGAAGACTGCTTGAGGAACAATATTTTTTCACACAAATCTTCACATGCTCCTTTCAGCTCCCTAGAATCTGAAGATTTGGCTGTTCATTTGTATCCAGGAGCAGTTACTATTCAAGGTGTTCTTAGGAGGAAGACACTGTTGAAAGAAGGCAAAAAACCTACAGTAAGATATTTTTTTTTAAAATTCATTTTCTCTCCTTCTTCCTTTACCCAATTATAAATACAATAAAGTGGCCATTGTGCAACTAATTCAAATGTCTGAGATCTCCTTTGCCTTGCTGATTAAGGTTTAGCGTGGCTGCTAGAGATTGCATTCTTGTGTTTGGTAGATTTATTCAGTTTATAAGGCTATACCCATAATCTAGGGAGTAGAAGAGAAGTGTAACGCTACATAACATTTCTTCCAATTCCTGATAACCTTAAAAGAGAGGAGCATGCTCTGTCTTCCTGAATGGTATGTGGATCCTAACACTTTATCAATAGATAATAACCCTTAGCATTTTCCTTGCAAATGCTCGATTATCAGTTATAAATCAAAATACATATTAATGACAATGGGGGATACCTTTTGGCAGTACATAAAATGGAAGAGGGGCAAATGTTCTCTAACTCAGTGTTCTGTAACTCAAAGTATGAGTTGCAGAAAGTATAGAATAAGATGCAGAAAATTTTTCTCAGATTAGTGAGGGAAAGGCACATATTCTTTCTGCTCTCTAGATTTTTTAGTGCATTCATAGGCCTACACAAATAACTGGAAACAGCAGCTTTGAAACATGGCTGATGGTTTGGCTGGACAGTTAGTGCTGTCATGTTTTTGCACGATGATGTCTTTTATTTTACAGCTCCATATTATGAAACATTTCACTTATCCATTGCACTTCCCCCCCCATTCCCTCTTTTCTCTCCAGGTAGCATCTTGGACAAAATACTGGGTAGCGCTGTGTGGAACCCAACTCTTTTACTATGCTGCAAAATCCCTGAAGGCTACAGAAAGAAAACACGTATGTAAAACAGGCGTATTCCAGTATCATCTGCCAAAATGAAAATGTGATTTCCTGATGTAAACACTGAGAGTAGTTTAGGACCTGCATGATTTCTAGTCAGCACTATCCTGTCTTCCAGTCAATCGGTCACTCATATAGATATGCCCTAATGGAAATACCACGCACATTTGTATGCTACACCAAGAATATCTGCTTTGAATGTGTCGTGGGTCTCCTTGAATTCGTTGGTCTATAGAGAAGGGAACCATGTCATTGGGTCTGTCTGCTTTTCTAAGGTGGAAGTTGTATCTTTTGATGATCTCTGAGTCTTGCAACAGTTTGTTGCTACTGGAAATCCAAACAAACATTGATGTGCAAAGACTGAGAAGTCACTACATATGACATTAAACATGTATTGATTTCATGTATGTGGTAAAATTAGACTCTACTCTTTTTTTCTCTAATCCTGTAGTCCGTTAACTAACAACAGAGTACAGAACTCTTCATCTGTTACACATACATATCATGTGACGCTGGCTTTCCTTTTATCCACTGCAACTTAATTTGAAAGAAGCTAAAAATAATTTTCCTATGTGGGAAAGTAATAAAAGGATTTTCTGTAGATGTTCCAGGGATGTTATGATGTGCGTAGTTCCTGTTTTCACTAGTGAATTTAAATGGAAGAGGATGCCGCCAGAGATTCTGTATAAGAAACTGGGTAAAATTTGAGATACTTGGATCTTTTTCCAAGTTTATTCACTACTCAGAACTATTACTTAAAGTTGCCTTGGCCAATGCTTCAGTTTAATTTATGACAACTGTCACTGAAGGACATTTGCTTAGCATAAAGCTTATGTAATTCTACAAACTGAGATGTGCTCCTAGAACCCTTGTAAGGGCACTATCTTAGTTCTTTCTGGTACAAAATACTGTTTTCTTATCCTAACATTTTTATGTTCAGAGGGTAGGGATTTGAAGCTTAAGCTTTCTGATTAGTAGACTTCTGGATATTTGAATTTTCTGTGTGGAACGTTTGTGTGTAATGTCTTAATCTACAAAAAAATGAGTATTTTCCACTTTTTTTGGAAGTAGTTAATTAGGAAACAGTATTCTAACGCTCAGTAGTTTAATAACAGCCAATTACTTGTAGAAATATTTGCATAGTTTCTTTGCCATCATCCCTTCGCTGCACCCCTCCTAGCCTTGATAGCTTGGGTAAAATTGAAACTGATCCTATTTAATTTGTCTTGCTAGTTAAGCCAATACTAGCCCAGACCACAGGGCTGTTAGCCAAGCACCCAGTCTCCTGGGTGCCTGTAGAGAATGTACGTGTTTGGATGCATTTGCCTCTGGTATCAGTGCAAACCTTACGGAAGGAGTCTGTCTCGTTAAAAGGAAAGGTAGCTGGAAAGAGCAGACTTTTAAGCTATTATGAGCAGAAATACGAAGTATTAAAAAGCGAAAGAAGAAGAAAGAACCAAGGGAGAACTTGGCTGGCATTATGTCACTAACAGTTAGTTGCTTGTTTTTTCTGGAAACATTGAGAAATGGAAAAGAAATTTTTTGTAATGTCAGACTTTGTGCTCCTGTTACTGATGTGATGATGCCTTTAGGCTTTATGCCAAAATTGCATTTTGTTTTCTTTTAAGGGTAGAATATGCATTTGTAAGTCTCTCTTGTCCACTGTCTGTCAAAGTACTGAATGATGGGAGACTTGACCATACTTGTACCTATTCAGTCAGAAGCTTTCTCAGTATTGTGTATAAATATTTTAAAACAATCTAAATAACATACGGGTTTAGAGAACTTGGAAAAATTGCATAGCTGGTAATTTTATTATTTGGAAATTAAGTATATTGAATTTTTGTGGTCCATTTGCTTATACATTTGCTTCAGAATAACAATTTTCATCACTTAAATGGTCTTGCCCTTTCTTTAGGAAAAGTAAATGAAGTAAAAAGGTAACAAATGTAAACATTCAAGTCTGGTATCTGATCCTCTTGAGTCTCTGTTACTGCCAAAGCCTTTACTTTTGTCTTGAAATGCAGTCGTATCCATTTAGAATGCTCTTTCAAAAATTATTTTCTGAACCTATTGAATTGACTTTTAATATTCCCCAAATCACTGATGTGTTGTGATACTTACAACAACTGAACTACTAGAGAACAGACGCTGGTGCCTAAGACGCTAAATCTGTCTTGCATCCTTAGGTTCTTGTGTTTATTTGTCCAAGGATGTGCCAGCAGACCAATAACGGAGTCTGCAGGTAGAGGCTAGGAGACATTCACATCCATAATGCTGGCAGGATGACCCACCAGAAGCCTGCCAGCATTATGGCTTGCAAATAATAATACTGAGTGGAGTTTGAGCAATGCACTTCCCAGGAAAGGGAGATGATGGAGGAGTGGTAGTAAAAAGCAGTGACTGCTAGAGCAGATTTATTTTTTTAACGTTTGGCTCCGTGGAATTGGACTGAACTACCCAGCACAACCTTGGATTTGTCTATACACAGCTGATGTCTTGCTTTTAGCTTTTTAGGGCAGCGAACGTACTTAGTTCTGTTTGTGGACACAAGGCAGGTTATGAAGCTGTTGTGTTTTAACCCTAGCCAGCAACTAAGCACCACACAGCTGCTCACTCACTCCCTGCCCTGGTGGGAT